CATAAATATGTGTATTACTTAAAAAGTAATGCATGATTAGCAATGGAATTTTTACCGAATAAAGATTAGGGTGTAATGCATAAATATTATACAAAGTTACAAGAATTTACATTATAGTTTTTTTTTTTAAATAAAGATTAAATGGAACAAAGGAAATAAGCTACTGGACAAAAGTTAGGGAACGATGTTAATAATTTGCATAAACTTTAATTTACATTCTTAAAAAAAACTCGATGGATCTTTTCAACAATAAGTAAAAGTTCATTTATTATTAGGACTTTATTTTTAAGCAATATGGCAAATTCTACACGCAAAACGCTCTCTTTTGAAGAAAAAAAAAACTCATTATCGCTAACTATCAAGAAAAAAAGTCAATTTCAGAAATTTCTGATATTGTTCATAGGTCTAAAAGTGTCGTTCATCGTCAGCAGGTATAAAACCGATAAAACGTTAGATGCAAAACCAAAAACCGGAAGACCTCCAAAAACATCACAAAGAGAAGATCGAAGAATTGTTAGAATATTTAGAAAAAACCGTTTTGAAACTGCTACATCAACTGCCCATGAATTTAATGAAGAGACAGATAATAAGATCTCATGGAAAACGGTTGCTCGCAGGTTAAAAAATGCAGGATTGCATGCCCGTATTCCAGCTTCGAAGCCTCTCATTTCAAAGCGAAACCAAACGGCACGCCTGGAGTATGCGAGAGAACATGTTTGGACTGACGGACAATGAGATACAGTTCATTTCAGTGACGAGTCCAAGTTTACTATATTTGGTTCTGAGGGCAAAACTTACGTACGCCGTAGAACAGGTGAAAGACTGTCTTCTCAATGAGTCAAGAGAACCGTTAAGTTTGGTGGTGGCAGTGTGATGGTGTGGGGAATGATTTCATCTGCAGGAGTTGACCCTAGCATCCGCGTACATGGCAATATCAATGCTGAGATTTACAAAAGGCTTCTTCAGCAGCATGTAGTACCAAGATTACACCATAATCTTTATGTATCTCCTATTTTCATGCAGGACAATGCACCTTGCCACAAGGTTCAGAAGGTTATGGCTTTATTTGAAGAAGAAGGAATCGCCCTAATGAAGTGGCCAGCCCAGAGCCCCGACCTGAATCCAATAGAAAATGTTTGGAAGATAATTGGAGAAAGTGCTCAGAAAAGAAACCCGAAAAACCAGGATCACCTATGGGAGTTATTGAAAGACGAATGGGAGGGAATTACTGCTGATTTTTGCAAGAAATTAATTAGATCATGTGGTCAACGATGCACAGAAGTCATTGAAAATAAGGGGATGTTTACCAAATATTAAATTTTGTTGATATTTTGTTCACAATCAAGTATTAACAAGATCGTTCCTTAACTTTTGTCCAGTAGCTTATTTCCTTTGTTCCATTTAATCTATATTTTAAAAAAAAAAACTATTATGTAAATTTTTGTAACTTTGTATAATATTTATGCATTACACCCTAATCTTTATTCGGTAAAAATTTCATTGCTAATCATGCATTACTTTTTAAGTAATACACATATTTATGTCTTTGTTGTTTCCGTTCCTTATAATTTTTAAATTATATATATATATATATATAACTTATATACAGTAGCGGTCATAATATGAGATCAGTAACTACATGTTATTTTTTTTTTACGTGTGTATTGAGCACTTTTTAATACTACTGTTCTCTGGTCTAATTCAACCCTGACCATTAACCTCACACACACACACACACACACACACACACACATATATATATATATATATATGTATTCCAGGGTAGAAAAGAAAGTATCAGGACTGGAGCTATAAAATGAAAACTACAACATATATCAATTCGGCATTTAATCTCCTTGGAAGTAATCCCCTTTTGAAGACACAAACTTGTCTAATGTCGATTGTATGGATGTTCATCCTGACAGACCTACGGGATACACCTTCGAAGTAGTTCCCTTCTGAAGACACACATTTTATCCAGCATCTTTACCATTAATGGAAGCATTTCTGGAACTCCTTTTGAGATATAGCGAGTAGCTGCCTTGTGACATTCTCTTAGATTTCCTCGATGTCTTGAAGTCTAGTTTCTTTCAAGTAAAATTTGCTTTCGGGAGAGACAAAATCTGGAGAATATGGTGGTTGCCAGTCCTGTCAGCCTGATCTTTTTTGTAACATCTTTGGAAAGGTTGTTCTATCTCATACCGGATATGCTGGTCACCTCAGATCGCATAAAAATTTGCAGTTTAATACTGATTGTATGGATGTCCGTCCTGACAGGCCTACGGGATACATCTTCGAAGTAGTTCCTTTCTGAAGACACACATTTTATCCAGCGTCTTTACCCTTGATAGAAGCATTTCTGGAACTGCTTTTTTGTGGGGGATAGCGAGTCCAGAAATACTACACTCTGAACGTATACAGTGTGCAATGGATAAATTGTCATATAAATGACGCAAAAATGAAAATAACCCCGACATCTTATTTTCACAGATATATTTAGCGAAATTAGACAAAAATGTATTGAAATACTAAAGAGGAAATTTGCTCAATAAAATCGCAATTGGTTTCAATCACGGCCTCCAGACGACTTCGGAATCTCATGCAAATCTTGCGGGCGATCTCCTTGTTTAAGTTGGTGAATGCTGCCATAATCGTTGCCTTCAGTTCATCTTTGGTGTTACAAGGATTTTGTTTCTTGCCCCACACATAATAATCAAGGGGATTACAGTCTGGGGAGTTAGGTGGCCAAAAAGGGTGATCTGATTGCAGAAATTGTCTGACAAACATGACTCGTTTCTTCTGCTTGTGTGGCATGGTGCAGAGTCCTCTTATCACATATAGGGTCTTCCAGCAGCCACCCTTTTGACCAGGGGCCCTCACCAACAAATTTAGTTCTTTTCTGATAAGAATGATCAGAGTGAGTTTTCCAAGCTGCCGTGCCTTCGTAATCACCATTAGACTGACACAACTCTTTCCGAATTCTCTGCACTATCCTCAGATTGAGACGCAAACACTTTGAAATCTTCCTACTGGAGCTTCCGGTGCAAATGCCAAGCAGTACAGCATGCCGTTTCCAAATTTCATGGTGGTCTTTTAATCACAGACGATGCCCTGCTATACTGTGCAGTTGACAAAATAAAAAAAAAAACTAGCGACAGTTTAACACCGCACCCTGTATTTGCCTCCGATATCCACGTTGATAGAATGTGATAAATGCTTCATTTCAGGTGGGGATCTGTGATGCATATATATTGACCTCGGACTAGCCCCCCCCCCCACATTAAATCTCAGTGAGTATACATTGCAGAAAACTAAGGAGATTACTGGAATATTGGATAGACTTGGCGTCACTTGATCTTTAATGAAAACACCAGTTATAATTCGTGTGAAAAGAGATTGATTTGTTTTTTTACGGCTTATCAACCCTTTGTGGGTTATTAAAACCGAAACATATTTCTGGATTTTAAGAATTATTCTCTTTTCTTACGAGTTCCTTTTTTGAGAATTAAAAAAATATTTTTCTAGATAAAAATCCCAATATTTACGCTAACGGCACCTCGACATGGTGTAATGGTTAGCAAGTAGTGAGTTCGATCCTCCCTGCTCCCTACCTTCGGCTTTGTGCCACATCTAAGCTATGTGTAAATCACCATTGCTAGCGGAAGAGGCAGCTTCAAGCCTTTCCCAAGGCTATTTGAGCGTAAGTGAATATAACGAACATGAATGGGATTTGAACCTGGAACCACACTTTCTTATTCCGAGCCGTTATCCTTGACAACACCCTGCTGTGAAAAGAGAACGAACAGGAAGATTAGATAAAAGTACTGAAGAGTGTGCTGGATTATTGAGGCGACTTGCCGTGACTTGATCCCCAATAATCAGAAAAGGTATCTTAACAGTAAATGAGAGAAGAGGATAAAAATTGATCGCTAAGGTGAGCCAAAGGTTAGAATTATAAGTGGACTTTATGAGGAGACATATTAAATACAATGAAATGTTCGGAAGTAAAACCAACAAAAAAGTACTTGAATAGAGAACAATTGCTTTTCGTCTTCACATTCTTTTCAGAAGACAATCATTTCTTAAGGGTAGTGTAATTTCGCTTTTCTATGGTTTTCTTATCAAGATTGAACACGTTTCAGTTTTATTAGATCGATGCAAAAGTTTCCAGCATATTTTTAACAAAAAAATTCATATAAATTTATAGCATCGTTCTTCCTAAATTTCAAACAATTTTACGTTACTTTTCAACTAATTTGCATTTTCGCTTTTATTTTATCGAAATATATGGTTGTTGATTGTTTTTTTACGGCTTATCAACCCTTTTCTGGTTATTTAAAACCAGAAAATATTTTTAGATTGCAAATAAATTTTTTAAAGATAATAATGATTTGCTGATACAATTATTACTAATTAACCCATATCTGGGGAGAGTGAGGAGGTTTCATGTCAAATCAGAATTTGATAAACAGACAAGAAATTATAATGTGCATATATAGTGGGGTATCAATTCTATATTACAATCAATATATAAACTGATCCCTCTCTTTGTGGCCATGGTAATTTCTATATATTTATTTTCCAGAGAATGTAAATAAATCTAAAAGACATAGCTAATCAGTATAGTATTTTATAATTGATTGATTGATTTCATTGATTGACTGATTTTATTGATTGATATCATGGATTTATTTCATTGATTGATTGATTTCATTGATTGATTGATCGATTGATTTCATTGATTGGTTCATTCATTTTCTATGGCTTATCAACCCTTTGCAGTTTATGTACAGCCAGAAAATATTTTTAGAATTCTTTTTTTTACGATAATAATGACTTCTTTATACAAATCTTATTAATTAACCCATGGCTGGATGGAGAATAAATGGTTTCATACATTTCCTAAGGGCATTCGCGTGTGAGTAAATTTAACGAACACTACGGGAATTGGAATTCGATCTACCGATTTCAAGTTCCATTTCACCACCCGCACATCCAAGCTTACATCACTTGGTATTCCTAAACGGTCACTTATCCGGGAACTGACCAGGCTCGACGTTGCTTAACGTCGGTGATCGGACGAAAATCGCTGTTTCAACACGATGTGACTGTAAGCCTGCACATCAAATGGCTTTCCTGGAGGTACTTTTCAGTGTTGGTAAATTACAGAATGCGTTTAAATTTATGTCAGTTATTATATTCACGAACTGAAGCGTGAATTTTTTGTTAAAATTAATAAGCTGTCCTTATTAATTATTTTAAATCGGAAAAAAATGAATGGCCGCCTTTTTTTCGGATTCTTTCTTTCTGTTATATACGCAGCTTTGTATAACATTTTAAAGCGTAGTTTTGTCTTGTGTGTATTAATTAAATATTTTTATTAATTATGTCATTTTTAATACATTGTCGAATTAAGGTATCATTTACTAATGTATTCTTTTAATACAGTGGCCTCCACACACACACACAAAAAAAACGCGATACTTAAGGTTTCAAATGAATTTTAAAAGTTAAAATTATTTCTGGAAGTTTTTTTAGTTTTAATTTAAAGCCGATAGATTAATTTAATATTTCCAATAAGCAAAATACATATTTTAAAAACTAATTTAAATTGACTGGAAGGATTTTTTTCTAAAATAAGTTGATTAGCGCCCTGTTTTAGTCATTATTCATCGCAATTTAATTTTCTTTTTTAAAAAATCAAAAAATGAAATATACTTTTCTGACACTGTATTTGAAGAAGATTAGCTGATAATTTAAATTATAATTTAAATTATAATTAATCCGATTTAAAACAAATATTATTTACTTTAAGTTTAAAATACCGCAGAAATGCATTTTTTAACCAGACAGTAGCTTTGTTTTTAACCCAACAGGAGCTATTTTGATGTGTTGGCAGCCTGAGGACGGGTTTAATGTTGATCTACGGAGACTTTATCTGCAAAACATAATTGAAGAAAATGATGTGATCACATTTTTCATATCATTTTTAAGTATTCAGTAATCTTAAAAACATGTTGGAAAATATTCACCATAATCTAATGTTTTGATTGAATTTTAGAAATCATGACTTAATTTACCATAGTTATCGCTTTTATTTTCTGATAATGTCGTGTATGGTCACCCGTACTTAAAAATTCAGCACGTTTATAGACATACAAAAATATTCACGATTCTTTTAAAAATATTGGTGTCTGATGATTTGTATTAAGAGTTTTCATTTATCATTAGCAAATATAGTTTTTACCTAATAATAATATCATCTAAAACAATAAATTTTTCTAATTAAAATTAAAAGAAATCAAAACAAGTCTTGCAAAAATTCATTATTCATCTAAAAGATCTTTTCTTAAGACATTAGTGTCTTTAATATATATTATTTATAAAATCAATTAGAATCTTTTCTAACTAAATAATGTCATCGATTTATTGTAATTCTTATTTTATGATTCAGAGCAAATTTTCGGTAAATGGTGATTCTGTTTGACAAAAAACAAAATTGATTTTTAAATTCAAGGATTTCTGCGTTTAACTAATATAAAATTTTAATTTCTCGAAATTTCATTAAAAAAATATCAAGATTTTCTAAAAAGAAAAAAAAGTCAAAAATGATTTCATTCATTTGTGAATATGTCCAGAAAATTTCATTAATCTGACAATTATATAATTTTTAAAGCCAAAAATGTCGCTAAAAATCCGTATACTAATCTTTGGCTTACCCACTGACTCAAGAAAAAGAAGATTTTTAACCAAAATTTCGAACATGCTAGAAAGGGTTAACAAATTTAATAAAATAATAAAAAAAATACTTTGTTCTTTCCTCTTAATAATAACTTAACCGTTTTGACGATAAGACTTCGTTTTTATCAAGTTTGGGGCATTTTTCCATCGTGGTATTCTCTTTTTAGAAAATTTTTGGAAGTACATATTTCAATAATACTGTTCTTCACCCAATACAAAGAGTGTAAAAAGAGAAGGGGAAAAGGACACAAGAAACACATTCTCTTGAGTCGACGTCTGTAACAATTAGACCATAATCAAATTGTCAGCAGTTGGAAAATCTGTGGCGCAATTTGGCAAAAATGAAGAAAATGCAGAACTTGGTACTTGACGTTTTGACTTGACACTCAGAAGTTTTCACGATTCGAGATTTGCTTCAATTTGTGTCTGTTTAAAAAAAAATCACTTCTTTCTTGATCGTATGTTTAGAGTCAATGCTTCTGCATTATTAATAGAAATATATCGATTTGTATCGATCTAGGTACGAATCTGACCATAATGGATTTACCAAGGGAACTGACTTCTTGATAAGATTTGACTGAGGGTACGATCCCAAGGTGTGGAGCGATGGGAAGTACCGGAAAAGCATCCTACGCGGTGACCCAAGCCATGTAAGTGAAATTGTGCAGACAAAACTGAAATTGTGCTGTCAATGGTTGGAGCCAATACGAAGTCAGTCATCGTGACCGAGGTTTTCGGAGTTTTAGTTATGTTCACGCTACATTCTGAACTTTCTTTACAACTATGAAGCTTACAGCCATATTGCGGTGAAACACCGGTTCTCGTACGATCGCCGAAGTTAAGCAACGTTTGAGCCTGGTCAATATCTAGATGGGTGACCACTCGCGAATACTAGGCGCTGTAAGTTTGGATGCGCGGGTGGTGTAGTGGATAATGGCTCAGAATTGTTAATCGGAGAACAGAGTTCCAATTTCAGTTGGGTTCGTTATATTCACTTACGCGCAAATAACGTCAGGAAACGTATCAATCCACCTACTCTCCCCAGAGCTATGGATTAATTAGTAAGACTTGTACCATTATTATCTGAAAAAAAAAAATTAATCTAAAAATATTTTCTGGCTTTAAATAACCTGCAAAGGGTTGATAAGCCGTAAAAAATGAACCAATCAATGAAATACTGATTAGTCACACAGACATGTCTTTTAGATTTATTTACATTCTCTGGAATATAAATATATAGAAACTACCATGGATCCAAAATGAGAGGTCAGTTTATATATTGATTGCAATATAGAATTGATCACCAACTATATATACATATTATAATTTCTTGTTTGTTTATAAAATTCTGATTAGGAATGAAGCCACCTCTCCTCCCCTAGTTATGGGTTAATTAGTAAGACTTAGTATCAGTAAATCATTATTATCCCTAAAATAATTCCTACAATTTAAAAATATTTTTTGGCTTTAAATAATCTACAAAGGGTTGATAAGCCGTAAAAAACGAATCAATCAATAATCAGTTTATGAAAACTATGATTCGGTGAGTTTAGTTGCAGTATAGACTGCAGGTTGATTCTGTGGTTGTTGAAGAAACACATGAGCTTGAACAGATTGTCATTAACAAGGATTAGCTGGCCATTCTAGCAGATGGACATACCTAGAAAGAAACAATCAACCATTACTTTTTATTCTTTTGTATCGAATAACGGTGCCGTCTGGAATAGTCGGGCTAGTGTAATTTTTAAACTTATAAAATAAGCGGGAAAATTTGGATTCCTGGAACAAAGTAATCGTGCCGTGGAGAAATCCTCGCCCCATACAAGGCCGAATAGCCACTAAATAAGGGTGTATAGATGTAGGAGGATGAAGAGGAGGAGGATGTAAGAAGAGCAGATTACGATGATACATACGCCAGGTATCGATTTGATCGTCGCCTGCATATGGATAAATAATGAATTCAGTAAATATCTAATAATAGAGGACAAGAAGCTGTGGAGAGGCATGTTCATCTACGTCCTGAAAGAAGAAGATCCTATAGACAAAGTATCACAAACAGGAGTCATAAAAGAGTAGGTATTGTGGAAAAAAGGAAAATACCGGAAGCTGTGGAGAGCCATGTTCACCAATGTCCTGGAAGAAAAAATCCTATAAGCACAGTACCACAAAGAGGAGTCGTAATAGAGAAGTTATTGCTGAAAGAAGGAAAATACTGGAAGCTGTGGAGAGGCATGTTCACCCATGTTCCAAAAGAGGAAGATCCTATAGTACAGTGCCAAAAAGAGGAGTCGTAAAATAGCAGGTATTGCTGAAAGAAGGAAAATACAGGAAGCTGTGGAGAGTGATGATCATATGTCATGAAAGAAGATCCTATCGATATAGTACCACAAAGAGAAGTCGTAAAATAGCAGGTATTACTGAAAGCAACAAATGACAGGAAGCTGTAGAGAGCCATGTTTACACACAGGATGTATAGACAAAGTTCTACAAAAAAGAGTTGTAACGGAGAAAGTATTGCTTAAAAAAAATCAGGAAGCTGAGGAGGGCCATGTTCACCTACGTAATGTAGGGGCATGGTACACAGATCAGTCAGTTGGGCCATACGAAATGCGCGCTTGTATGATCATGTCTCTTTCGATTCATAATTGACTCAGCAGAAGATTTTCCAGCAGTAGGTTGCTATTTCTTTTTTTGGTAGACTGGTAGCCAACCAAGGCTATAGGATCCAATCCGTCCTGCTATTCAACTCATAGCTGGGAGGAGAAGAGATGGATTCATACCTTTTCAAAGGGTTTTTCTTTTCGCGTAAGTGAATGTCAGGAACCAGCCCTGAATTCGAACTCGGCCCTCAGATTTCTCATTCCTAGCCGATATCCATCACACCACAAGGAACACACGCACATTTTTCTATATTTTTACGTGCAATAAATATCAGATTCTTTTTAGTATAGAGACAATGAAAATGATCAAACCCTGGATTATTAATGTTATTCTTGTTGCATTAGCCTTGACGCAAAAGCCACAAGTATTGGGAATACTACAGGTGGAAATTACTAATCTGTAGGTGAATGTATGGTTACTAGCAAAAGAGACACACCCAATATGCAAATTACAAATTGGAAATATGAGAACCAAACAAGTCTAACAATTTAAATATTTTGGAAGTGTTTTAACAGTAGATGGACTGAAATTCGAAGGCGCATTGGGACAGTAAAAACACCTTCCAAAAGATAAGCAAAGTATTAAGAAACAGAAAAATTTCGTTAGCAATAAAGAATGGACTATTACGTAATATCAGTGCTCCTATATGGCAGTGAATGCTGGACAATCTCCTCACAGATGAAGAAGTGACTTGAAGCAACAGAAACAAAGAAAAGATTACAGAACTGTTATGTAATATCAGTCCTCTTATATGGCAGTGAATGCTGGACAATTTCCTCACAGATGAAGAGGCCTGAGGCAACAGAAACAAAGAGTACTGAATTGTTACGTAACATCAGTCCTTCTATATGGCAGTGAATGCTGGACAATCTCCACATAAATGATGGAGACTTGAAGCAACATAAATCTGTTTAGTGTTTAATGGATGTCAGTTATCAGTTATCTCCTGTCAATTCCCCTCTGAAAGTTCTCCACTGCCTTAACCGGGTATTGAACTCAGATTCTTTGGGTCCTGTCACTAACGATCTAACTAACGCCTTTATCCACTGTGCCATGTGTCCTTGAGGCAAAAAGATGAGGACAATAGTCCGAATAATGTAAATAATGTACCTCATCTCAGAAATATAGACAGACACTTCCTGTTTTGCTGGATTGAAGGTTGTTTGGTTGTTTTCGATTGACTTTTCTCATTTAAATTGTTCTGTAGAGACCCCGGAAGAAATGAAAATGCAAAGGAGCCAAATCTGGAGACTACGGTGGGTGCTGGAGGGTGGGGTCCCATTTCATCTCTTTAAGCTTCTGCAAGATCTGTTTCGCAAGAGAAGGTCTTAGGTTATCATGGTGGAAAATGACAATTTTTCATTTAACAAGATTTGCTGTTTTTGTTTAATAGCCGCATTAAGACCGGCGAGTTAGTTGCAATACTTTTTTGCAGTTATTGTTTCGCCGACTGGAATAAACTCAAAGTGAATTATCTTTCTGCAATTACTCCAAACAAACAAAAACACATTCATTGGATACAAACCGACTCTGGCTAAGGGGTTCTGCATATTCACGAACTTATTTCCAGCTACATGATAATAAACGATCTATTTTTTCCTCTCCTGCGAAAAATGATGTCCAAGAACGGGTGCCTTCTTGTGGCGTAACAGCAAAGAAATCGCCACAGAAGGACGATCGAACTTGTTTCGTCTCATTAAAGAATATGGCATCCACTTGTCGAGATTGAAAACGAATTCAAGTCTCTTCAAATGGCGAAAAGGCAATTGAGATATAGATTTTCAAACTCTTAACAATCTCTTCCGTCGAAATCTTCGCTTTATTCGATGGCAAGAAGATTGTCTTCATTGACGTTGGAAGATCGTCCGAGGCGTCGTTGATCGTTTAGATTAAAATTACCCTGACGAAATCCGACAAATTACTTTTTGACCCACTGAAGAGCTTGGACACGATTCAAATAAATCTTCTGATTGTTTATTGTTGCCGTTCCAACGCTTAATCCTTTCTGAAATTCATAGAACATAATATGGCGAAAGTGGTAGAAAATGACACCCCATCGATTTGTCCAATTTGACTGTTTTTCTTCAAGTCTCTTCAAATGGCGAAAGGCAGTTGAGATATAGATTTTCAAACTCTTAGTAATCTCTTCCGTCAAAATTTGCTGTTTATTCACCACGATGGCAATCAAAGTGTCTCCATCGATGCCGGAAAGTCCTCTAATTGTTTATTCAATATTAAATAATAAAAGAATGATATTCGAAATTGTATTTATTTTTATACGTTTCAACTACCAACTGCTAGCCAAATGATTTTCTTATATTTATTGATAAAGACTTTTTAAAATGTGGATTAAATTTAAATTTGCATTTTACGTAATTTCTTTTTTTCTAATTTTAGAATCAGCCAAACAAGAGTTCATCCTTGAAAAAAAACCTATCCAGTCGATTTCGTTATGGCTTGAGACCGCCCAGTAAGACTGCAGACACTCCTTTTATGCAGACAGTAAGTTAATTCTATAATTACAGGATCACTTTAAACATTTTATAACTATGTTGATTACAACTCGCATGACCTGTGAGAATTCTATTAATGTTGACAATTATCAATTATCATATATATCTGCTCTTATCTCACTAATTACTCGTATCTTCTCATTCTCCCCCTTATCCCTTCAACTACAACGAAGATGTTGTCGGTACGGTCGAGGTGGAGGCAATATAGACCGGGCAGTACACGGCTTTCATATACCACCACCCACATCTGCGCCATGAAGAGATCACTCCAGTCTCCTCACCAAAGGACTGAATTTTTGTCCAAACACAGGGCCACCTTTATTTCGAGAGATAAACGGAGGTCTACTAATGGCTGACATATTTTTTACTTATATTTTTTCTTTATTTATTGTGTATTTCGTTTCTCACCGGAAGTCAGCTCATGATCATAGGTAAGATAATTGTCGAGGAAGAATTGATAGCGGCAGAGGTGGAGTCTTTATTATTCGATCGAGCTAGCTCGGATATTCATAAGTCTATCCAACCAATCATCACGGTCCCGCATCAAGGTCGGAATGTCATTAGGACGGCATTCTTTGTCATGATATAGATGGTCAATGGAGGTGGTTACTAGGCGACCAACCCGTCTTGCTCCATGGCTAAGTGTTTAGAGCAGTAGATCACTCACAAGTTTTTGTTTTGCGAGTCAGAGGTGGTATTTCCAGATTACATCCATTTTTATTCAAGACCG